CATCCGTGTGAAATGCACAGTCAGCGTAGGACTCAGATGGGCACAAGGTGGGGTGGGGAAGGACAAGGTCCCCTGTTCTGTGACAGGCTCCCACGGTGGATGCCACTCCGGGGCAGGGTCATTGCTGTTAGGTGCCTTCCAGTTGGATCCAATGCATAGTGACGCCGTGTGCAAAAGAAGAAGCTGGGGCGGGCTGTGGGGGGAACTGGGGAGCAAACCGTGAGCGCAGGTGCACTGCCACCCATCGTGATGATGCGCGGGTAACTTTCCTTAACAGCGACTTCACTATGGAAGTGTGTGAAAGGCGAATTATAAAAATTGGAATTAGAAATGTGTATTGATATCCATCAATAAAACGAGTGTGGAAAACAATGAGAGTAGGAAACACTGCCAGGTCGGCCGCCGCCGTCACAGTGGCTGTTGTTTGGGTCTGCCAGTGCTGGGGCAGGGTGACGGCTAGGAGATGCTGGAGGCACAGGCGCGGGCCCTCGGGTAAGGGACCTCGCGTGGTGGCCACACCTGACACTGATGGGCTGCAAGTGATGACTGCACCTGGGTTGTGGGTGAGAAAAAGAGATAGACGCCAAGGGCGGATGAGCAGGTGTGGATCTGGAGATAAAGGGCAGAGGTCTGGGAGCTGACAATGGAAGAGACTGTGACAACTATCATTCAAACATTTAGTCCCCTGGCAAGGAGCCCTGGTGGCACTGTTGGTAAAACATCCACCTGCTAACCATCAAGTCAGCAGTTCAAAACCACCATCTGCTCCTCTGGAGGAAACCGGAGGCTGTCTGAACCCACCGTGCTTTACAGTCTCAGAACCCTATCTAGATGGGGACACTGAGTCAGGATTGACTTGGAAGGAAAAATAGGGTTTCTAAAGAAGAAGGTAGAACTGAAAGGTGGGGAGGTGTCTTGGACACAAGCATCGCCTGTAGGGTCTTCCTCTTTACCACGACCTTTGGCTGCACCATGATGTTGATGCACACAACAGACAGACAGGCCAGCTGTCTTGTTTTACGGTCTCTGCCAGGTCCAGGGATGGTGGGGACAAGGCTGTACTGATGAGGATCCCCTTGCACCCCCCAGACCCTGACAACACCACAGAACGTCCTAATGACACAGGAGCCATGGCGCAGACACCCCAGGGGGCAGTTCTGGAAAGGCACCGAGAGCAGTTTCAGAAGCATGGCTGTCAGATGTGCACCCTTCAGTGACGTGGGCAACGGAACAGAGATCTATTCCTTGTCCTCGTTCTCTCTCTCTCTCTCTCTCTTTCTAAGGAAAGAAAAAATAAATGAGGCTAAGGAATTTCATTGAGGGAGGCATTTCAGATCCAAATTATCCTCCCAAACCCTAAAAAAAGAACTCGGTGGCCCCCTAACAGTCACCTTGAGGAAGCGGATGCTCTCTTCAGGTGGCAGAGGGCTGAACGTGTACGCAGGAGGGGCACCGAGGCCGGGCTGAACAGGGGAGGGAGGGGACGCAGAGAGGGCGTGGGGAGGAAGAGCGGCGGAAGGAGAGAGGAAGCGAAGAAAGGATGAGAGAAGAGCAGATAGAAGGACACAAAGCCCCCAGATGTCTGCAAGGTGAGCCATCCTGGTTGGAATACAATCCCATATTAATCCATCCTGACATGGAAAAGTGAGGACAATCACAAAGATCCAGAGCCACCCTTCTCCCGCCGGGCACATGCCGGGGGGAGAACATCAAGCTGGGGGACCGCAGGGGGTCAGCGAAAGAGAGGGCCCTCAGCGAGATGGGATGGGGTCACTTGGCGAGATGGGCTGGGGTCACTCAATGAGATGGGGTGGGGGCACTCAATGAGGTGGGGTGGGGGACACGCATGGCAAGGGTTGTGAGGCCGGCCTGGGGCCAGGAGGTGCCTTCTCCTGTGGTACTCTGGGTGGCAGTGACAATCGTCCGAGGGACCGTGGTGTCTGTGGGACAGTGAGGAGAGGAGCCTTCAGAGACGCTCACTGCGGTGGCGTTTCAATTTTGGGCCTCACGACCGTGTATCACCCTGGATTCCAATATGCTCTCTATCCATTCCAAACCTAAATTAGTTTTAAGAAAATGCAGAAACAAAGACGACATCAGCACACACACACATATCACACACACACACATCACCAATGCTGCTGTTGTGGGGCGCCATCCATGCTCTCCAGGGGGTCCAACCCCTAGCGACCCTGTGCACAGCAGAGAGACACACGGCCCACCCTGCGCCCTCCTCACCAGCAGCTGCTGTGCCCATCCATCTCACCGCGGGCCTTCTTCCGCCTCGCTGCTCCTCTGCTTGCCCAAGCATGAGGTCCTTCTCCAAGGGCCCGTCTCTACTGACCACATGCATGTCCAAAGTCCGTGAGACCAAGTCTCCACCCTGGCCTCTCAGGAGCACTCGGCTCTGCTTCTTCCTGGGCAGGTGCCTTTGTCACGCATCCCGCAGGTGGTCTGTGGGTGCAACCAAACTCCAACCCTGAACTAGCACCCTCTGCCAGCAAGTGAACCCTGCCTCTCGCGCCAATCATATTGCACCGAGTAGAATGGCCACCTAGGGTCCCCAAGGTCGCCATGTTCAGGGAAGTAGACTGCCACGTCTGTCTGTCTGTCTCCGGCGGCTACCCTTTCAGTTGGCAGCTCAGGAAACCACCCCCGCAGACCAGAGCTCCTTGAAGTCAATACACCCGAACCAAACTCACGGGGACCCTATCGCATGGGGTGAAACACCCCTGTCGGTTGCAGAGACTGTAACTCTTTTCGGGGGTAGAAAGCCCCATCTCTCTCCCGAGGAGCGGCTGGCAGTTTTGAACTGCTGACCTTGCAGTTAGCAGCCCAGTGTGTAACCACTAAGCCACCAGGGCTCCTGGAATTCAGCGATAGAACCCATGATATCAAACTCCTGTTTGCAGGTATTCACTGTTGGGTGGGTGGGTCGGGGCCTCCATTTTTGTCCCTGGCCCCACCCACCCCCACCCACATCCTTCCATGCTGCAAACCACACTCCATTGCCGCCTGCCTCCCTGGTTTGCCAGGGCAATGCTCGCAGAACAATAGAGACCTCACGCTTCCCCTCATTCTGAGGACTGTAACAGGGATCCTGGAGACAAACGGATGCCTGTGCTCTTTATCGCATACTGACCTAGTTCTGGCCACAGTCCCCCTCCAAACAGGAAGCGGAATCCGGAGTTGTAATGCATTATTTACTAGGATGAAGCAGTAATTCAGACTGCAGGGGGAAAGGCAATAAGGGAGCCGAGGCAAGCTTAAAACGTCTTGCAGCCTGTTTCACGAGGAGTCGCGAGTAATGCAGCCACATACACTTAGGAGTGGAGTGGGGCGAGAGGAGAGGTTAATAGAGAGGGCTGCGCCGCAATCCCGCAGAAAATAAATATGCATTCGAGAGGAGAAAGCCTACGCCCAGTCGCTCAGCCGAATGCAGCACCGGCCGCGGCTGTTTGTTTTACACAGCCCTTAACACCCCGGTGCAAGCAACGACTGTAAAACAGAGATAACTCTGGGAATTTATGGGCATCTTGGGACCGGAGCTAAGAGAATGCTCTGAGAAGTTACGAGCCAGTCTGGATGGCCTTCAAGCCGGACCAGCCCTCGTGGAGCCCGCTCCCATGCCAGTCGCTGCATGGGTGTCAGAGCCCACCTGGGGCCCCTATGATTCTCAGCATCTGACTTTATTTCAGGAGGGGATCGCCAGGTCTTTCTTCCAGAGTGCCTCTGGGTGGTCTCCAAAAACTGACCCAATGGCTACCAGCAGCATGCTGAATAGTGTGCACCTTTGAGGGACCTCATAACCGGCATTCAATGAACAAACTCATTGCCATCGAATCGATTATGACTCACAGCAGTTCTGTCAGTCAGAGCAGAGCTGCCCTTATGAGTTTCTGAGGCCGTTGATCATTACAACAAGAGAAAGCCTCCTCTTTGCCCCCAAGGAGTGGCTGGTGGTTTCAAACTGCCCACCTTTTGGTCAACCACCAAGGCACATCTCGCTCTACCACCCAGTCTCCTGTTAGATTGGATTAGTGCGTTATGCTGGCTAGTTAGACCCCTGCATGCAAATGGCCAAATCTCAGCATTATGGATTTCAGGGTGGCAGGTGTTTCTGGTTTTAAAATCAGGATTCAGAAGATAAAACACAGGATACAGCCGCGACTTCCATCAGCAATGTTCAAGAGAAAGCAGCCACGCGCTCACACCCAGCCAGGCCGGACGCTGCTTGCTGGCTTGGACAGAAAAAACCAGGGGGCGGGGGAGGCCATCCCGACATTCCTTGCAAGGCCACAGCCATGCCAAGAGGAGTGCCACCCACAGGTCCAGGGAAGGAGAATGCTGGCCACAAGCCTTGTCTACAAACAAACCACAGAACACACCGGAGCTCAGAGAGCGTTCTGTCTCCCAGGAACGAAGGGGAAGGTGGGGTTTAATGGTCTGTCTCCTTCTCCCACCAACATAAGTGCCACTGCCCCCAAAGGCTCTCGGAAGAACGGAAGTCACCAAGAAAACGTCCTTGGCCCATCAGTGGCCCCTCACCTTGCTCAGCAGTAAAGAACACATCCAGCCACGCAAGCAAACCAGGTGTTTATTCACCTGAGGAGCATAGCCAGGCAGGCCTCTTTTGACCTTTGTTGATACTTAGATGGCGTGTTATACATTCAGGAGGGAGGAAAAAAAAAGAGCGAGCGAGTGAGCAAGCGAGCGAGGGAACAATGATGTCGAACAAACTCCAGAAGAGAAGTATTTATTGCTGGATCTAAATCAAAAAATCCATATCTACTGTAATGGCACTTCAAAAAGGAGATAGACCGCAAGGACCAGTTCAGTCAATACTAAATTAGCTCGGATAAATATTTTCAACTCTCCAAGTCTTAAGATGGGAGCCGGCGTATTCAGAACCTTGGGTCTTGGGGGAAGCTGGGGGAAATGTCTGCTCAGCGCGCTCAGCAGTGCAAACCTGGAAGTGTTTTACAAGTAGCTGTACCTACCCTTAGCTGCTCTCTGTCACAACTCATCTGTTGTCTTGGAACCTACAAAGAGAAAGAAGAGAGAAGATAAATCACCGTCAGCGGGTCAGCATGAGGAATAATATGAAAGACAATATCCAGAGGCACTTCCAATGGCTGTGTTCAAACCAGATTCTGAATTAGCAGATGATGCACACACCCTGATTATGACGATTCAAAAAAAAACCAGCAAAATGCCCCGCGTGGTATCAGGAGGTTTGCATTTGCTTCTCCTGAAGCCCCACGGGGGTCAACCCAAGTCTGAAAGAGGAAGGAGCCAGAGGCTGGAATGAAATTGGGAATGAAAACTCCCTCTTGCTTTCAGCCCAGGCATCAGGCATCCTTCCCTGAAGACGCCCTCTGGATGGACTGACCGTCGCAATGTCTTCTCCACCGGCCATGGGCTGTCAAGTGCCAGCTACACTGCTTCCCCAATTGCTTACATTGTTAGGGTCTGGTGTTCATCAAAAGGAGCCCTGTTTGGCATAGTGGTAACTCATTGGGCTGTGAGCCACGTGGTCAGCAGTTCAAAGGCACCAGCAGCTCCGTGGGAGAAAGAGCGGCTTCCTGCTCCTGTAAACGGCTGCAGTCTCAAAAACTCACAGGGGTCACTGTGGTGAGCATTGACTTGCTGGCAGTGAATCGTAATCAAATGGTAGCCTCTCCCAGGGGCTTGTCTTGCAGAAGAGTCTAAAGTCATTGCTTCTAAGAGGAAAAAGCAGTCCAACAATCTGACCTCTTCCATGCACATTAGCAATACACAAAGCAGGCACTGGTCATCCTTGCCTTACGTAGACATGTTTTTTAAAATCCAGTAACACTCCATCTAGATGAGCAGGGGAGATTGGTCCTCGGAGCCTCGACACCCCCACCCCCACCGTGGATACCCCGATCTACAGATGATCAAGCCCTCATATCAAGCAGGGCAGCACTTGCATATAGCCTATACACATCCTCCAGGCTACCTGAAACCATCTCTTCTTGCAGACAGCATCTCAGGCAAAGCACACACCGTAAGTAGCACACATCCCTCTGAGCCAGTGAGGAATTTCTCCAACCACTAAATGCCATCGCAATTGCTCTTCAAGTACTCTTTTTTTTTTAATCCAGAAGTTGTCTTTATCTTACTTGGATCCACAATCAATACTCAAGGAAGCAGCCGTCAAGAGATCAAACAAGGCTTTGCATTGGGTCAATGTGCTCCACAAGACCTCTTGAAAGGGCCCCCAAGACCCTTGGACAAGCAGCAAGGTCACTTTGAGGACCCAAGCCAGGGCCTTTTCAATGACTCCTGTGCATGGGAAAGTTGGACCCTGAATAAGGAGGCTGAGGACGAACCAGTGCCTTCGATACATGGTGTTGGTGAAGAATATCAAAAGTACCATGTACTGCCAAAAGAACTAACAAACCTGTCTTGGAAGAAGCATAGCCTTATAATGCTCCTTAGAAGCAAGGTTGGGGAGACTTCGTCTCACAGACCTTGGTCATGTTTCAGGAGAGACCAGCCCCTGGGGAAGGACATCATGCAGGGAAAGAGACAAAGGCCCTCAACCAGATGGACTGACCCATGGGTGCAACATTGGAACAGTTGTGAGGACGGTGCAGGACCGGCCAGCATTGCCTGCTGTCGCCCCAGGGGTCTCTGAAGACCAGAACCAACTCCATGGCCTTAACAACAACAACAACAACAACAACAACCCAAACAGCGTTAGTTCGATCCAAGGGAGCAGAGCCTACAGGGATTGAGGGCTGTGAGTTTAGAGCCCACCTAGGAACATCATAAAAACCAAACCACATTCACTGCCATCGGGTTTATAAGGACTCATGGACACCCCACAGGGCAGGGTAGAACTGCCCCCTGCGAACTTCTGCAATGATAGCTCTTTATAGGAGTAGAAAGCCCATCTTTCTCCCAACAAGACCGCCGGTGGGTATTAGATACAGTGACCTCATGACTCATCCATGATCTGCACGTATAAGACGAACAAGGGCTGAGAGTCGCGGTTCCCATCGGGGACGCACGAGGCGGCAACGTAACCTGGGTGTGCAGCCTCCACTTACCTATTAGCTACATTGCATCTCTTCTGCTTTGTTTTGAACTGACGAAGAAACCCTGCCTCGGTACCCCTGACAGCACAGCGCAAGCTTTTGAAACTTCTGCTAAAGGATAGGAAGGTTTAGGGGCTGGCTTTTGATGTATATTTGATGCGATTTGTTTTGAAGGTTTCTCTTTGTCTCCAAACCAAACAAACACAAGACCGCTTCCTTGGGCTGTGCCCACTCTAGACTCGCGCCTTTCCAGACTCTAAGGGAGAGACCAGCTCCACACACGGCTCTTAAGTGGCAGAGAGGAACATACAGTTTGATTCACATGTTGATTAACTCTAGCATTATTTATGAGCAAAAAGATGTAACTGTTCACACTGTGTAATCATGGAGAAATGAAACGTACATTAGACTGCTATTCTATGATGGCATACCATGTGGCAAATTAGACCATGCTTTTGAAGTAGGGGGCTTGGCTCAACACTGTTAATTTACGGGGAACATGCTGTAACATCTGAGCCCATTCTCTGTTACAAATAGAGTCATCGAGGAAAAAGAGAGGCAGAAAGAGGAAAGAGAAAAAATGGGCATCTTCCTAAGTATTTAAAATGAATATATTGCCGGGCATTATGCACATTGGTGTACACATATAGTTGGGTTAATTTGCCTTCTAAAAATTAAATAGAAAATCCTTATAAACAAAGGAGTACCGTTCTATACAGGTACATGGGTAGCAAGTACCCTTTGGACAGGCGACTTATGGTACATACATTACTTCTCCAAGAGAGTGTGATGAGGTACAGCGAGGTTCTGGGTCCTGGCGTGCTGGTAAGTTAGGTGCTGCACACGCATGACTTAGCACTGCTCACGGGGAAGGACTGAACAGACTGTTGGTTGATGGCATTGACACCCCCGATATGCACTCCTGTGAAGAGTTACAATGGCAACAAACTAACCGCCTTGTTGGTTTCCCAAACTGTCAATCTCATGGAACAGCTGGTGGTTTTGAACTGCTGACCTTGTGGTTAGCAGCCCAACATGCCACCCACGGGGTCTCTCTTTGGTGGTGGGCGAGGTTAAAGCACAAGTTGCCATAAGATCATCAGGCACGCAGCACTCAGGCAGTTACAACTCCCTCCCTCTCTGATAAAGGGAGTGAAACAGCCCGCCCCACCCCCCCATCAGACCCCCACTGCACCATCCTCTTGTCTTGGCCCTAACAACTGGAATAGTAGCAGACACACAGACTCAAGGCAATGCTGACTCAGAGTGACCCCATCGGTTGGGGTGGAACAGTCGCTTGGGGTTTCCTCGACTTTACATCTTCATGAGATCAGAAAGCCCACCTGTTTCCCTCAGGTAGCCAGTGAGTTCAAGCCCCTGCCCTAGGTAGCTGCTCACTGCATCAGCTCATCAGCTCTCGATCACACGCCGCCGCCTCCAGGAATGGTGGAATGTGTGCCTTCTTTCGATGCTTCCTGCGCCCTTCGACATTTCCCCGCCCAACATTGCAACGCTGCAGCTCGGGGCTGGCCATCCCCACGCCGTTCCTTCGCCCTGAGATATGCTGCGCCTGCTCTCCCTCCACGTCCTCACACAGTTCCAGACTCTCCCTGTCTTCTGGAGCGGCCCTCTGAAATCTGTCCAGCTCTTTGTCTTTATCAGCTGTGGTAGTTATAGAATCTGTTGTCAATGTGAGAGGATTAGGAGGGAAGGGTGGAGTCTAGCCTGTCCATCATTGTACAGCCAATGAGCCCTCTGTGTGGGCATGGCCTTCCCCTGAGAGTTCTGGGAATTGCTGGATTTCCTCCTTGGAAGCAGGAGAAACTCTCTCTCTCTGCTCAGTTCTTGGGAGACACTCTACTGACCAGATACATGGCACTATGCGGACAGACTCTGCACCTTGGGAAGGGGCGGAGCCACGTGGAGGCCCCTGCCAGCACTGAGATGCTTACAATGTCACAGGAGTCACAAGTCTTTCCTACATTCAGCGTCACTGCCTGTGTTTCATCGTGAGGCTGAAGAGGAATTTGTACATTGGTATCAGACTCATGGGTTAATATTGGACTTATGGACTTGATCTGGACTGGGCTGGGGTGTTTTCTCAATGTTCACTTGCTCTTGTACATAAAGCTCATCTTTACACACATCATGAGTGTGTCTGGGGATTTGTTTCTCTAGTCCACCCGACTAACACTTTGTCTTCTGTTCCAGAAAGCTACTACTCTATGTCATCGACATTCATTTCAGTCTTTTCTTTCTCTCCGGTCCGTTTAATGAGCTTTTCCTTTTTGTGGTGTGTGATGTCTCCCTCCAACTAGCTCATCTGGCCTGAGGTTATTCATGTGGCCCGCATCAATCTCTTCTTGAGAGGGTCTCTACATTCAGGCAGGTGTACTCAAGGGTGTACTTTGACTCTGGTGTCCTGGGTGGGTGGCCCTGAGTCTATTCTGAGGGATACCACGAGAGCGTGGAGGACCGTCCCACAGGCCTCCTTAGGGGGTCATCTAGACAGGAGCGGCTCACCAGGCCCCTCTCGCTGAGCTGCCAGCATGATTCCAAATGCTAACCCTGAGGCTAGCAACTGAACACATGGCCATTGCTTCTTGTGCATGTGTGTGTGTCCTAAATGGAGGGAACGGGGCCATGGGACAAACTATCACCCAGGTCCCAGGATCAAATGATTTTGACACAGCTGGACATCTATGCAAGAAAGAAGGAAGGAAGGAAGGAGGGAAAAAAGAGGAGGAATCCTTGACCTAAATCTCATAGGCTAGACAAAAAAATTAAAATAACTAAAAATGGACTAAATATCTCAGTGCAAAACTTAAAACTAAAGTGGATGATGTAATTAAGGGGTACTGGCAATGCCTTCATCTTAATTTCTTTAGTTTTCAAATTGCGTTTTATGAACACTTCGCTGTTATCAGAAAGCATTTCGATAACAGTGTGTGGCAGAAGTGGAGGTGTGGTGAGGT